ATAGTGTTTTTTTTAGAAAGCAGCCACATCATGAGAAGAAGAGCCTATCTCCTGCCAGCATTCTGTACAGAAGGACGCTCACCCTCAGTTTGCAAGCAGTGGTCTCTCTGTAGAGGTCAGACCTATAGCTATGGAATTAGCAAAGTCTGGGCTCCCTGCTGATTGGAGCACATCAACTCTGAGTCAGTTGGGGGTGTATCAGACCACTGCTTTCACACCGAATGAAAAGGATCCTTCTCTGCTGCACAGTGTCAGGAGGCCATGGTTTTCTACTCTAAAGAAAATGAAATATAAGACTTTGCACACCTTTTGTTTTAAAGCATTTATAATGTATTTAGCTGATTTAAACTGACAGTTCAGTTGTTGCTTTAAAGAAATGTCTGCTTCTGTGACAGGGATGTATCTGGCAGCTGCCCTGTTCTATACAGAGATCAGGAACCAAACAGCATGGTTACTGATCATATGATCACTATGGCAGCCAAACATGGCCCAATGAATAAAAATTGTCAAGTTTAACACAGATCCCCTGCTGATCGGAACTGACAGGCACCCATGTGAAAGGGACCTTTGAGTGCAAATTGCATTTTTCACATTTTTATGAAGTTGTCACAAGCAGGGTATTTTTCAAAATAGTTTTTTAGGAAGGCAAATTAGTCATAGGGTAATAGTCAAGTTAACCAGTGCATACTGATGCTGCTACATATGACCTTAGCATCAATTAATCTAGTCACAAACAGATAAAGGTCTACTAAGTGGATATTCCCATGCTCAAGGCTGAATATCCCTGCTTCTTACGGATCCATTCCGTGACACCCTCCATTAAACCATTTCCATGAAAAGCAAAATGTATCTTTTCCCACTGTTCATTTGATTGGGCTGGTGACCTAAAGCCCACTGTTACAGCTACGGATGTCTATTTCTGTTCATCAAGGGAGCTACAGGGGGCTTTGTGATACTACACTATATAGTTTAAAGCAAAGGTCTTATTTTATATTTAGTCTGGACAGTCCCTTTAACAAAACAACCCTTATCTCTGCCAGAGCTTTCAGTAGAAGAAGATTAAAAAAAAATCTGAATACAAAATCTACACTAAAATAGGCTATACCCACATCAACACACACCGGCCAAAATTCGCTGCATGGGTGCCGCTGTCAGCACCCTTCTGACCGACATCCCTCCATCAGCTGATTAAAAAAGCATTTCAGAAATTTCTCAGCTGGACAAAGCTTGCAACCAATCTACTGCTAGTTCTGATTGGGTATTCTGACAGTGGCTGTTATAATACAAAGGAAACAGCAGGAGATTCCTCGATCAATGCTCCTAAGCGTTGATGGAAGAATAAGTGATATTTTCTTTGTTCAGCCGTTAGGTTGAACGAAGAAAATATATAAGTATATACCTGACTTTACACTCAGGATAGACATGTTGAAGCTGTTTACGAGCTTTGGAAGGCAGTGCAAAAAAGTGATACAGAAAAATCCACCATAAGAGTGCAGTTTGTTTCATAAATGTCCTTGTGTGCTTTTAAATACTACTGTCCCAACATAAAACACACTCCTGTTCGCTCCTTAGGTGTCTCCGCGTTTTCAGTGGAAAGCAGTTTGAAGCACTATAATAAACCTGTCATAGGTCTGGAACACTGTCACGGTTGACTGTCCAGGATTGCAAACAAAGTGGTTGGAAACTCACATAGTAACACTTTGTTAAATGAGAGGCAGTTTAATCCGCAATAGGAAGACACATGATTTCCTCATTAAATTGCCTCATAAATACCCCCGTCAATATGATCAGCTTGAAGTGTAGTTCCACTTCTGCAACCAAAATAAGATAACATCTATTCTATAGTGTGTTTGTTCCATGTTCCCATTCACAGAGCATAACATAAAAAAAAAGATTTGCTTCTTAAATTTAAGTGCTTTATACTTGCTTAAAAATCTAACCTAGCTTCTCCCTATGTAATGTTGAGGAGGGAGCTGTGGGAAGTTATGCTTACACTAATTAACCCTGTATGTATTGTGCTTTCATTATTCATTGTAAACTAGATTTAAACACTCTCTGTCCTACCAAAGGGTTAAAGGCTTAGAAGCATTTACTATTAAAGGAGAACTATGAGGTGAGTGCAATTCAGTTCTAGCCGACCTGTGACAATGAGACTGTCACAGATCGGCTCAGTAGATCGGGAGGTGAGCGAACATATACCGGCGTTCGCTCACCTCTCGATCCTGTAGCTGTAGCTAGCGGTATACTGAGCTTAGGGTAACGGAAGGACGCTAGTTTGTGTCCCCCCGTTACCCTAAGGAGAACTATGGGGAAAAGCCCTGACCCCATAGTTCTCCTTTAATAGGAGGAAGCTCAGTATATCCCTCCATCCAACCGTCTACTTTCACTTTCAGGGCTCATTCACATAATCTGCAATCTGCTGCAGTTTTTTCCAGGGAAGCTCGAATGCAAGACAAGGCAATTTGCCTTTCATGGATGGTGACTGTTCAAACCACTACGTTCCAGTGGTGTGCGCTTAAAAAGAGCACGGCATGCACTACTTCTTTTAAGCACACCGCAGTGAGACATGGTACAACCACATTGCACTGCAGTGAGCCCATAGAAAATTAAATGTCACTTGTGATAATTCAATAAAGAAGAAGCAGTGTGATGTGGCTCGATTGAGTCCTTAGGCACTGTCCGGCCACAATCACACCAGCAGCCATGCAGTTGAGCATGGATGCTGGTGTAAGCAAGCCCTCATACTGCTCAGAGTAGCCCGGAATCTGTACAAAGGCCTTCACCACAGACAGCGCAAAGGTAAGAAATATATTTTTAACAATTATTTTTAGATATGCTGTGTGAAAGGGAACACATAACGAAAGCATAGTGGATTTTTTTCAAACTTCATTGCAAAAGTGGAACTATACTTTAGAGCAGTGGTTCTCAACTCATGGGTCGCGACCCAAAAGTGGGTCGCGAGCCCTTCTGCAGTGGGTCGCGGCGCAATCACGGCAGGCTTTCTATTCATTAATACAAGCCTGCCGTGATTGGCTCAGCGCTGAGCCAATCACGGCAGGCTTTCTATTCATTAATACAAGCCTGCCGTGATTGGCTCAGCGCTGAGCCAATCACGGCAGGCTTTCTATTCATTAATACAAGCCTGCCGTGATTGGCTCAGCGCTGAGCCAATCACGGCAGGCTTTCTATTCATTAATACAAGCCTGCCGTGATTGGCTCAGCGCTGAGCCAATCACGGCAGGCTTTCTATTCATTAATACAAGCCTGCCGTGATTGGCTCAGCGCTGAGCCAATCACGGCAGGCTTTCTATTCATTAATACAAGCCTGCCGTGATTGGCTCAGCGCTGAGCCAATCACGGCAGGCTTTCTATTCATTAATACAAGCCTGCCGTGATTGGCTCAGCGCTGAGCCAATCACGGCAGGCTTTCTATTCATTAATACAAGCCTGCCGTGATTGGCTCAGCGCTGAGCCAATCACGGCAGGCTTTCTATTCATTAATACAAGCCTGCCGTGATTGGCTCAGCGCTGAGCCAATCACGGCAGGCTTTCTATTCATTAATACAAGCCTGCCGTGATTGGCTCAGCGCTGAGCCAATCACGGCAGGCTTTCTATTCATTAATACAAGCCTGCCGTGATTGGCTCAGCGCTGAGCCAATCACGGCAGGCTTTCTATTCATTAATACAAGCCTGCCGTGATTGGCTCAGCGCTGAGCCAATCACGGCAGGCTTTCTATTCATTAATACAAGCCTGCCGTGATTGGCTCAGCGCTGAGCCAATCACGGCAGGCTTTCTATTCATTAATACAAGCCTGCCGTGATTGGCTCAGCGCTGAGCCAATCACGGCAGGCTTTCTATTCATTAATACAAGCCTGCCGTGATTGGCTCAGCGCTGAGCCAATCACGGCAGGCTTTCTATTCATTAATACAAGCCTGCCGTGATTGGCTCAGCGCTGAGCCAATCACGGCAGGCTTTCTATTCATTAATACAAGCCTGCCGTGATTGGCTCAGCGCTGAGCCAATCACGGCAGGCTTTCTATTCATTAATACAAGCCTGCCGTGATTGGCTCAGCGCTGAGCCAATCACGGCAGGCTTTCTATTCATTAATACAAGCCTGCCGTGATTGGCTCAGCGCTGAGCCAATCACGGCAGGCTTTCTATTCATTAATACAAGCCTGCCGTGATTGGCTCAGCGCTGAGCCAATCACGGCAGGCTTTCTATTCATTAATACAAGCCTGCCGTGATTGGCTCAGCGCTGAGCCAATCACGGCAGGCTTTCTATTCATTAATACAAGCCTGCCGTGATTGGCTCAGCGCTGAGCCAATCACGGCAGGCTTTCTATTCATTAATACAAGCCTGCCGTGATTGCGCCGCGACCCACTGCAGAAGGGCTCGCGACCCACTTTTGGGTCGCGACCCATGAGTTGAGAACCACTGCTTTAGAGTGTAAGTGAAGACAACATTTAAAAAAAAATAGGAATGTTTGTGAGCCCTGTCAGGTTTTCTTTTTTTGTTCTCAAAATCAGAATGATTTATCTTTACTTCCTGTCCCAGAGCAAGAAAAGGAGGTAAAAGAAGAGTTCTCCAGGATGAGAGAATATTCTCTCTTTTTGGATTTCCCATCGCTTTCTGTTCCAGAAACAATGATCACCTAGACCAACAGGGCAAAAATCCCCAGTGGAGATGCAGACATATATATATAAACCCAACAGATGTTCTAAACCTTCTACATTCTATCCAAAATAAAAATTAATTGTTTGTTTTAACATGCACTTTAAATGGCAAATCATTAACTAAAAGGACTGCATTCATTACACACCACTTGTTGCTAAGGTGAATGGTTCCTACAACATTGCCAACTATCTAATCTGGTTGTCAGTGCTGTGGGATAACTATGCCTTAAGAAAGAAGAGGGCATCCTTATCACAAAAAAAGGCATAAACATATTATACAAATATAATTAATTAATAATAATAATACAAAATTACACTTGCCTGCATTAAACAGATTAAGCTCCCATTCCATGTAATCAAATATCTCCACAGTGAGTTGAAAACTGAATAGGATCAAAGGAATAAAGAAAATGAATGAACCAACAACCTTATATCACCACAGCCAAAATAGGTAGCATACTACAATGCATCAAAAATTGTGATGGACATCACCCTATAGATACTGTAAGTGTACCTGTCAGTGGTGCAGGCATATTGACAGTTGGCATTCACAAAAATAGAGTGTCCAGTTAACTTCTGAATATCTTCTGATATCATTTATTCAGATATTTATTAGACCTACAAGCTCACTCCTGTGATGGACTACAATCTCAATACAAAATAGTAAACTAAACGCAAGATTGAAGTCCATCACGGGAGTGAGCTTGGAGTGGTGGCTACTTTACAACACACACAGGGACCATGGGGAACAAAAGTAGCCACCCTCCAGAAGGAAGGACAGTGTCAGCACCAATTCAGAAATGATTTGAGGATCTACAGCTGAGTGATAAACAAATAAGATACATTTATGTAGAGTTTATGGCCTCATTTAAGCTGGCCAAGCTTTAAGTCCAACCCTTAAAGGAGGACTATGGGGTCAGGGCTTTTCCCTGTAGTTCTCTTAAGGGTAACGGGAGGACACAAACTAGCGTCCTCCCGTCACCCAAAGCTCAGTATACCGCGAGCATACTGAGAAGCCGCAGCCTGGGACCGATCCCGACATTACTTTCTGGGTCCACCCAGCTGCGTGAGTGACCCGCCCCTTCCCCCGTCCGTTCCACCAGTCAGCGCTGGAGGATCGGACAGGGGAGGGGGGAATCCCTGCAGGGAGCCGTGAGTGACAGCCACGGCTCTCTGCAGGGACAGGATCGAGAAGTGAGCGAGCGACGGTATGTGTTCGCTCACTTCCCGATCTATTGAGCCGACCTGTGACAGTTTCATTGCCACAGGTCGGCTACAACTGTGACAACTTTGCCTTCTCAAAACTCTTCACCCTTTAATCAATAACAGGGTTATTGATTAAAGGGTGAAGAGTTTGGAGAAGGCAGGTGAATGAACAATTTAGAACAAAATAGCTGAACTGGAAAGTGAATTGAATTGGAGAATGTTTCCAGTTCAGCTATGTTGGCCTAGATTGTTCACTTCCCCTGCCTTCCTCAAACCCTCCACCCTTTTGTGAATAACCCCTTAAGTCAACTTAAAATATATGTTTACTGTACTGTGTGCTGGAATTATTGTCATGAGGAGATCACAATCCTGGACCGAGATTTTACAGCACCAAAACCTTGGCACCGAAAGATACTGATAAGCAATGAACTCAGCTGTCCTCAGTTAATACCCTCAGAACAAAAGTAAATCAGCAGCAAGCAGTCGGGTCCTTTGTTTTATTTCCTTACTTGGTATGTATTATGGCTTAATTTTGCTCCACTTTCAATTTATCAGCACCTGTTCATGCTACTTTAACTGACCTCTCACATTATTGACTAAAACTTTCATCCTGGGTATAGTAATAAATAAACATCTGAAGTGATAAAAAGACATCTGGCAGTTTTATACTTCTCGGTACACTATAAAGTGGCTAAGATAATTTAATCAATAGAATTCATTGAATTACAAAAAAACAGACCAATGGATGTGAGATGGATGATGATCTTCTTGTCCGGAAGAACAGACATAAAAGCATCCAATGCAAAAAGATGGATAACAGTTTCAGGTCATAATGTCATTCCGTCTATTTCTTTTCTCACTTCATCGCATAAGGAAGAGCCTACTCGCTGTCAGCAATGTAAGTCAGGGTTTTCCAATGTAAAACTAGGGCACAGTAACTTCTTCTGTGTGTATATAACATACACATCCCTACTGGGGATTATATAAGTAAATGCTGACACCAAGAACTATGAATATTGTGTGGAGGCTGCCAGCCGAGAGATAGTCACTAATGGGCAAATCAAACTCTCACCTGGAAAGAGAATGAATTGTTTCTAGACCTGAACGTTTTGGGGGGGTTTTATTTTTAGTTTGCAAGCTATCTGGATTATTTGGCTACTTTTCTCCTGCCCTTCACTCTCCTGATGGAATAAACCTGACCTCTATTTTAAAGCAGAATTCCAGGTAAAAAATGTCTTAACCCTTGCAGAGGGGCTACCCCCGTACTGCAAGGGTTAACTGCTTGTTTTGGTCTAGGTGCAAAAGTAACAAAGTTATACTCACCTGAACCTCGCAGCCGGCTGTGACAGTGCTCCCTCCAACCTGTCTGTAGCAATGTCCTATGATGTACACACGTCCAATACACTGTGTATAGAACATCATGACTCAGGGGCCTTAGGCCGCTGCAGCAAAGAGGGAATAAGACTCCAGGGACTAACAACAAGCTGGCTCCAAGGACCAGGTGAGTACAACTTTATTGTTTTTGCACCTAGACACAAAGGTGCATTTAACCCTTGGCGTGTGGGAATAGCCCCACTGCAAGGATTAAAAAAAAGTATGCCCGCTTTAAGGTGGCTATACACGGATTAAATTTCAGTCGTTTTATGTTGCACTGGCTGAAATTTGCTTTGAGGGTGGCCCTGTCGGCACCACCCAGCTTGGCAAACGTCGATTTTGAAATTGATTTTCGGCAAAGGAGCCAGGTGGAAAATTGTCGGCCGAACAGTGACAGCAGCCAGCAGGTGCTGCTCAGGTATCTGACAGCAAAATACCATAACTTCCAAGAGATATTCCTCCATCCATGCAGTTTTGTACGGATGGGGGAATCAAGTGATTTTTCTTTTTGTGGTCAATCTTACGGTGTAAGGACAGCTTTGGCAGCATATTTTTGGATTATAGGAAAACTTTAGAACACCTGTAGGACACCCATACAGCCCTGGGGGGACAAATTCCGTAAAAACTAACCTCGTGAATAGCAGAACCTGAGTGGCGTCAGTAATCCCTAACAAACTGTATACTGCTTGTAATACAAATGAAGTGTATCTGATTATTTAGCTACAGGAAAAAAGTGTTCCTAAACATAACTTTTATTACTTATGCTTCTGCTTATATGCTAATACTGAGCAGTGAGTGACAGAAAATCTGAGATTATTGTAGAGTCAGAGTAACAATCTGAGCGCAGTAGGAAGAAGCTTTATATTAAGAAAATGTATTCAAGGCAGGAATGAAACTTACAAATTATTGACATCATTTTCTCCCGCCTCATCCAGCTGTCTGTCAGTCATCTGGAGGTTGCCCGGGAAACGAGGGTTCTAGGTGCGGGGAACAGAAAAATGGTTAAATATTGTGCATGGGAAGAACAATCATAAAGATTTTACTTCCATCTGTCGAAGAAAAGAAGAGTGTGAAATGGCAGAAAGTGAGAGAGGGTAAAGCACGGAGAAGTAGGAATGCGATCATTAAAACCGAATTCCTGGTAGATATGAACAACACCTTTTAATCCAATTATGTGTTCATTAAAAAATCATTCAATACAATTACCATCAGTTCCTGACTCTGTCTTGATTACACCCTTCTGTCATTCATTGCACAGTGTCAGATAATGGGAAATGCCATACAATGTCAAAGAAAGTAGCATTAAAAGTGGAAGTAAAGCTTACCCCCCCAAAAAAATACTGATGGGTATGATTTTTATGGCAGAAGAAGGGGTGTCCCTACTAGAATATCTGCCGCCTAAGGAGGGTGGAGGGAGGGGGGTGCACATTCTGGGTGGGGAGGTTGCAGGCATTAAAGGATGGGGTGCTTGCATTGCATGCTTGGGGCAGGGTTGGAAGGGGGATGGATCATCTCACCAGCTTCCTACCCAGCTCACTGACGTCACTGGTTGTCAGGAGCGGGGCTGGGTGCCGGTCAGAGTGTCCCAAGTTGCTAGGAGCTGGGCTGGGAGATGGGTATGGCCCTTACACATCTCCCCGCTTGGCTTTTAGCAACCTGGAAAGGGGGTGGCAGGCACACCGCAGTGCAGCAGAGAGGCCCGTGCCGCATTTCATATTCCATTAAGAACTACAAGTGCCTCTGCCGTGGTGGCTGATGGCACTGTCAAAGGATCTGTAAATGGATGATGTGGCTGTGTAAGTGAGCAAACCAAATTTTAAAAAAACACCACCCTGCAGGAGGAGAACCCTATGATTTAGGTAAGTGGGGGATGGGAAGGGGTTGCAGGGTTTTGAAATGTGACCATTTTTTATGTTACAGTATACCCTAAATATGGGTGTACATCAGAACAGTAAATTAGCCTTTCAATTATGAATAGGGTCCAGGGTCTGGCTGCTCTATCTAGCAGGAATGTCAAAATCGCAGATTTGACTAAACTGAATTCCTAATGCAGGTAAAAAAGTTGTCATGCATATACTTTTTGCATGGAATTCAGTAAAAAAAAAAGACTATAGTCAATATTAGTTGTTTTTTTTTACTTACCTTTGTGTGGAAATCCATCTTGGTGTTCAGAAGCTTCAAATAAATGCTACATAGCTGTCCATACCCGTCACTAAGATGCCCCTATAATACACACAGATAGTGACAAAGGATTATATTTAGAGCACTCGGCCCACTACACAAAATACAATCTAATATTGGTTACTCTGTTAAGGTGCTCATATCTCTGTTAAGGTGCCCATACACTGTATGATTATCGTACGATAATCGCGGGAAATCAGCGATAATCAGCGATAATCCATACACTTTGCGATAATCGCAAAGCGTATGGAAGGCGTGCAACCGTTTCTACTGTACGATTGCACGTCTTCTGTCGAACAAGCAGACTGGAAAAGCAGACTGGAAAAGAATCGTACGATTCTCGGCGGGTTAGTGGCGTGCTTGTTCGACAACTGCAGAACGGGCCGCTGTTGCTCATTTAAAAAACAGACATCCCATGTGACACAAAAATACAAAAATACAGAATGCCTAATGTCTTGTTTTACATTTACGCATTGCCGCCAATCCACAGTGAACCAATTCCAGGAGCTGCCATGCCAGGACTGACTCTCAACAAGGAAAGAGACACCTAAACAAAAGTGGATTTGTATCAAGTGATATTATACTGGTTGTCGAAATGCTCTCACCCACATCCGGCTCATGTCAATCAGCTCATTTTTGTAACGCAGAGAGTCTTTCAAAACCTAAAAACAGGGAAAACATGCAAAGTGTATGAGGAAGGCAACTTTATGAAAGCCTTTGATGAGCTTTTTTATATTTTGAGATCATTTTTCTGAATATTCATATTTTCGTTTTACTTATTACTGGTTAATCTATAAGGGCAATGTAAGATAAATTATCCTTAGAGGGCAACTAACCCCAACCTACAACCTGATTGCATGAAAGTGCAGAAGTAATGCATGAAAATGTTAGATATTTATGTAAAAATAACAGCTGGTAAAATGTGATTTAATAAAACTACTGTTATACAACCAAACATTTGACACTGAGGTGAGGCCTAAAACAATGGGTTTCAGAGGGATTATTGGCCAGAAAACCAGCTGTAAGAAAGATATAATTACATCATATTTATGTTCACCCCACCCACTGCTGCAAGCACCATGCGGATGCACTCGTGTACTAGAAGTCTGTACAAGTTAGCTCCATATTACCAGCTAGGGTTGCCACCTGTACAGGATTCACCCGGACAGTTCGGGTTTTGAATGCTGTGTTCGGGTTTCATGGCAGCAGAAACCCGGACACATGATGTCAGGCAGACAGGGGGCAACCAAAATTAATATAGGGGCTACTGGCCCCCCACTAAAAATAGTCTCTACTGTGATATTTACATATGAATGGGCGGCACTTTTTACTTATGAACAAGCCACAACTCATTCTCCCACAAAAATGTCCGCGCGTCGCTGGAGTGTTCGGGTTTCGCTTGAAGAAAAGGTGGCAACCCTATTACCAGCAGAGATGCACTAGACCTTTTCAGCATTCTCTGCCAATGAACCTCTAGTTCCCGGTAACAAGAGAAATTAAATAATAAACTGCCAATGCTATTCAGCACATAAAATCCACTCAAGTGACCTTAAAGTGTATCTAAACCCAAGAACAAGAATGTAATATATTGCAGCTTCCTGCTCTAAGGTGCCAACACTCACTGTACTTTATCTATGACAGAGTAGCGTTGTAACTCTAGGACAGGAAGTATGTTGAGACTACAGGACACTTGCACCTCACCTTATCTCCATAACCTAGGGAAGGGGCGTGCTGTGGTCCACAGAGAGCTCACAACAGGAAGTTAGAAGTTCACTAGATTTCTGGAATGATAAACGGGGGGACCAACCCTTGGATGTGCAGCCCGAGCTCCTCATGAAACAGCATTTGGCTATGAGAACTCAGCTTGCTAACCGCACATGTGTAGTCTGTTTTCTGTGTTTGAGAGAGAAAGCAGACTGTGCATGTGTAGGATAGCCAAGCCAATTTCTCCTAGCCTAGTGCTTGTTCATGAGGAACTGGGGCATCCATGGGTCGGTCCATCCTGCCATGTAGTCGGGACAGAGAGGGTGAGCCCACAGGAGCAGCATTATTGAAAGACTGCATTCTGCTGATACAGCAGCGCATCCGTGCTTTCTTTCCTCCCCGCTGGGCGCTGCTCTGTGTCCCAGCAGGGAGGAGAGAAAGTGACAGCCGGCCGAGCGCTGCGGGAGGAGAGCGCTGTGTTTGTGGGGTTTTTTTTGGGGGGGGGGGCCAAAAAAAAATCTTGCACCAGGGCCCTTTGTTCCTTAGCTCCGCCACTGCTGCAAGATGTCATGTTGAAGTAGTATTGAACTCTCAAATCTTTTTTTAATAATTAATTTAGATCAAACAAATATACATTACCTAGCAAAGTATTTCTTCATGTTTTCACCCAAACAATTACAGTCATCATGTTTCCAAACAGCTGACTTTAGAAATTTTAGCTTGGCTTCCCTGAACTTCCTGTCCAGCACAGGATCATAAGGGACAGTACCGTCTGCAGCAACTATCCATCTACTAACTTGGAGTGGGGGGGGGGGGAGGGGGGATGCAGAGGACTGGATTGACTTGCTGTGCCTATATGTTTCTGGAGACACACAGCTTACAATTACACACAAGGGTGTCTCCATAGGGACCTGCAATGGAAAGGAGCCACCCCAAAACCGGATATCAAGGCCAGCTGATTTTGCAGGAAACCAAAACTTAAATATCAAGGAGCAGCATCCATTTGAAGTGATATCATTAGCATTTGAAATAGCTTAAAACATTTTGACTAAAAAAAAACAAAAGTGAAACATTAAAGGTGAACTAACCCTTTAACACTGTTCTTTGTAATCTTTTTGAGCTAAATGTCAGACAGCTATTGAAGCCTGTGCTATGTAAATTCCACAATGTTTGATGTATCACTAATCAGATTCAAGCTCCCATGGCAGAATCTGAGTCTTTGATACATCAGCCTTTTTACATGTAAGTGAGCCAGGTGGCTACAGTGGACAAGTTTTAGTCAATTGCTCCTGAATTAAAACAGTTTTGAATATTATGTTACCAGATTGTTACCTTTAGTAAATAAGGATTATTTGGAACATGGATAGACACAGAAATGCTAGATAGGTTACTCCAAGCATATGTCTCAGACATAAAATAGCAGAGAAGTCTGAAGTTAGTTTGGAAAGCTAAACCTGGTACACAGAGAATTCTGATAGGATACACAGACATTTTTGATATGCATCACGTAGTCTAAGATATTATACTGAAGGTGTACATACTGTGGACTGCATCTCATACTTACATTGGGGTGACCATCTCGGAGCAGCTTGTGAAAGACATGGCAGAATTTCCAGCAGAGTACTGCATTGCTGGACAGAGGCAGGCGGTTCACAGCTACCCAAAAGGTCTGAGCCCCCTTCTCATGGTGTGTTCCCAAAATACAAGGTGGATTTATGTTAAGGAAGTAATTGTATGCCTCAGAAAACAGAATGACAATAATAACTATTACTAGAAATAAACACAAAAAGATTAGTATAGCACATCATTAATTTGGGTTGTAACAAGGATTCTCTAGGGTATTACTTCCTTGTCCACCTCACATCTTGTACTGTAATGTTCCAGTGGAAAAACAATGGAGGCCACAACCCAATCTCCTATACCGCAATAACATGTTATTGATCCAGTGATCATTCTCCTCCCCCTGGGTTCCTCTGACACTCATGAATGAGCTTACTCCTTGCTCACTTTGTGAAAATAGTGGAGTCTCTGCAGAGGTCTAACACATCATTGACTGAGTCAGAGCTAGAGCTAACCAATCAGCAGGGAGCATGAAATTTGCTGATTGTAGAACTATAGGTTTGACTAAGGAGGGTGTGTGTTGGACCTCTGCAGAGAAACCACTGCTTTCACAGAGAGAGCAAGGAACTTTTTATACAGATCTGATTTCCCTCATCATTTCTAAATAAAAGACCTCAGGAAGTTGCTTGTTTTTTTCATGCTCAATATTTTAAATAAATAATTTAATAATTTATATGTAATAAAGTTGTTTATTAAATATAGTGGGGTCTGACCTTCAAGAACACGGAATAATATGTATACATTTTCAAACTTTACTTTTACTTTCAGCACTTACTGAGTCTTAATGCCTTGTCAGTTAGGCAATGGAGGGACCAAGGGGGCAACATTGTTGGGCTGTGCTTAGGGCATTGATTGCTCTTAATCCGGCTCTGCACAAAGGACTCCTGTAGACCAGATAGTTTTCCATGCAATCTTCTGCATCTTGCAGAACAGCACACAACACCGTTGCTGTCTGAGCAGTGTTCTGTTCATGTCTGGACTTCTCTCCTGGAGAGATGGAGCTTACCTCTCAGGGAAAGCAATCCAAAGCAAAAATCAGCTAAAGGCCCAAATGTCCCAACAACGTTCAGGACACTATGGCACAACACCCTGCTGCCGATGACCTACATGTGAATTATTAACTTCTCCTCTGCCCAAACTTTTAAATCTTTTGTATGGAGTGTAAATGATGCCCTATTTTTGCAGCTCTGATACTAAGATCCAGTATTGTGAATTCCTTTCCGCAGTCTCTCTCCAACCCAGCGTCCTTTCATGATTCACATCTAGACATTTTTATAATTCACTGTTACATTTACTGTACCTACTCCCTACTTTTAATGAGGGCAACTCCAAGAGAACACATGCAAAATACTTGAAATGCTTACAGAGGACATGGGCAGCATTTGAAATGACAAATCTGAAGAGTGGCATGTGGCCTTGGTTGCTATAGGAAACACACACTTCATTTTTGTTCTTCCTTTTTTGATAAATGATACCAGGGATGGCTTTGAAAGCTCACAGCTGAAGCTTCATTCACCTTCTAGTGAGTAATGAGTCAAGCAGCTGTGACCACATAAGATAGAAGCCAGCTGTGTTTATCTGGGTCTGTTACTGCCTGTAGGGTTATACCTTTTATTTTCAGCTCTTTTCATGTGGCTTCTTAAATTCTGATATTACATAGCACCAATCTTTATGAAGGTTGCTATGGAATGACCGATAGAGGCAACTACCTCAGGGATGCCATTAATTATACTAAGAATGTATAGAGCTTTTTTCCCTTTCAGGTAAAGGTGCAGCTCAGCCATACAAGAAGATTGGAAATCAATGGGATTTAGGACAGACACATCGAAGAAACACAAACAGCAACAAGCACTGGTAGCAGTTTATTTCGATAGGATAAGATTGCTGCTGATCAGCAACACAAGGCTTGGGGAGGGGTTTTCACTTGTTCTCAGTGCTTACAATAAAAATCTACAGTAAAGTACATAGTTTCTTTGACTTAACATTTTCATGTTTTTGTTCAATATCCATAAATTTTTCTGTTTTAAAAAGAGCCACAAAATTAGTCCCTGGGCTGCTGATGCTACAATTTTCAAATCAGCAACACTACCCAGTTTACAATTAAAGTCTATTTCCACTTTTGCAGCCAAATTGGGAAGACTGATGTGAATGTGCAACTATGTAAAGTGCTGCGAAAAATTGTCGGCAATGTATAATAACATGTAATAAATGAATAAAATAAATAACACATATTTTATATTTATTACATATTCTCATTCACATAGTATAACGTTAAAATAAAAATTGCTGCTTGCATATTACATGCTCTATTCTGAAAGAACAGTGTTTCTTTTGTGCTGAATTTTGCTCTTGGATGCAAGGAGGTGGGATGGTTAATGTTAATATAATTAACCCAGTCTGTACTGTGCTGGAAGATGTGATTATCAGTTGTAAACTAGATTTGAACACTGTCGTCCTAAAGTTGGGCGTACACGGTTGGATGTTTGTTTGCTTTCCTAAAAGTTAATGGGGTCAAATCGACGACTGCTTTTGACATCAGTGACAGAAAAGATTGGAAATTATGGAAATTGTACTTGTACTTGGGCCTGAAAAAGTGGCATCGGGACATCCCTAGTTAGAACCAAACGGAAATTCAAATGGGTTCTGTCTTTAAGAGCATTATCAAAAGGTTTTTCGTATAAACATCCGTACAAAGTTCTAAGTGTGCATACCCAGCCTAACAAAGGGTTAAAGATCTAGAAGCATTGTATGTCAATGCACATAGTGTCCGTAGTCTTCCTACAGGGACAGCCAGAGTTTCCTGTCATTTTGAAATTGAGAGAGAAGCTCTAAAAGGCCTGCTAATTGGACACATCTAAAAGGTAAGAATTTTGCCATTTAAAATAATTTGCTGTGTGAAATGGAACACATAACAGTTATATAGTGGGGTTTTCTCAAATTTGACTGCAAAGTGGAACTACCCTTCAAAGTGTAACCAAAGCCCAAAACATTTTTCTTTCTAGTTTTATATGAAGTAGGGAAGGGTTATGATCTTAGTCAGGCTTTTATTGCTGCCTGTGCCCCCACTGGGGGGATTGCCTTTTCTATTATTTCTGATGACCACTGTCATGGTTTTAGCTATTCCCTATTCCAGTGTTTCTCAACCCTTATAATTTTCAGGTCTCTGGGAACCCTTACTAAAACAAAATCATCAGGGGCCAATGGGGAAAATGCCTCTTACACTGGTGGTAAGTAGATAGAATGCAGTCTTTACAGTGGTGGTCAGAATGCCACCCTTACAGCCAGCTAAAAAGGTAATTGGGTCATGCAGCGTTCGCCCTGAAAATATGCAGGCACTATCAGATGGGAGGTCAATCTGCATCAGCTCAAGGAACCTCTAGCAACCTCTGGGGGAACCCTGGAGCAGCCTCTCTGAACCAGGGTGCCATGGCACACTGGTGTGCCTCCTGGCCTCCTCAGGGTTGCCTCAAAATTTTGTGGTAGTAGGACTGTGATGAGAAGGGGGCAATGAAGACTGAGGTAAGGGGGTTCCGGATGTAAAGGGTGAACTCTGATGTGAAAGGGGGGACTCTGATGTGAAAGGGGGGCTACTGATGCAAAGGGTGACTCTGATGTGAAGGTCAAAATCTGCTTTTTTGTGTTTTTGCGTAGGGTCCAACTTAAAATTTATGACATTTTATACCAGGGTGCCTCAAAATTTTGCATACTTTTAAATGGTGCCATGACCAAAAAAAGGTTGAGAAATGCTGTCCTAGAGTTCCACTGAACCCTGGTTGAGAATGGCTGCCGTATTCTATTTAAAACAAGGCTACAGGTATACTTTCATGAAATGTAATCCATCTTCAGACTTAGCAAGCTCCCAAACATGCTTCTGAGTAGGTTTCTTAATTCAACTTACTTCTCTCTCCATTAGAGACAGCCAAGAGCTTAAAGTAGGCAGAGTCATGAATGCATAAAGTATACATTCACTTGCTCAGCATTAAAAATGGGTTGATAGACAAAATTCTGTATCCTAGAGGAAACAACTATTGCTGACACTTCAATGTAAGGACTACATGCACAGTTGGCAGATACAAGGACACTGTGTCATATGTTCAACTCAAGAGGAACTGGGACCTTGGTGCTTCCTCTAGGAAGAACTGTGATTACCATATCGGAATCAGAAAAAAAAGTGGAAATGTGGAAATGAAAGTTGGACAGGAAACACAACAGAGTCAGTGTTTTCCAAAACAAGGAAATTCATCACTTTTGTCTGCTGAGTCCACTGGTAATGTACAGCATCAGCAGCAAACTTTCGCTGCTAATAGTATTCACTCTTTAATATACAGGTTGACACTATTACACTTCTTGCAGCTTTTAAAATAAGTTGAAGTTTATCTTACATCAGCAGTGTTACAGTATTGTGAACCAAACTAACTTGCGCTAATGGAAATAGTAAAACTAAATTAAGATGGATTAAAATTTAAAATTGATATTAATATGACCCGGGAGCTAAAATTTCTAAAACCAAAAAGGAAAAAAAGCTGCTGAACTCAGGCTAAAAGCTTACAGAATAATGTTGAAATGAAGTGTACAGCGCTAAATGCCCTTCAGGAAATTAGATAACGGTAGGGATCATATGGTGTCACCTCCGTGTCAAGCAATCGTGAAACAGTGTATATATAATAAATATTTGTGTAAAAACTTATAGTACGTTATAAAATGTGTCAGCAGGTGTCATAAAAGGCCTGTCATACATGAACCTTATTAAATAAATAAACAAAAATCTTCAAAGAACATGTGTCATATATGTGAAAAAAATATTATTGTGAAAAAAATATTAAATAAATAAATAAACATGTGTCATATATGTGAAAAATAAAAATATCACAATATAAAACAGTCTGTGTTGTTTTCTTTCGAAAATAAGTAGAAGTAAACGGAGATGCCCTCAGTTTAGTACACTTCACTGACTTCAAGGCAGTTCAAAGTGAGTAGGACATTTTGAAAATGACAAGGGAATGGGACTTGACACATGCTCTACCCACTTTAACTGAAAAATAGACCTAAAGGTCGGCTCTGGGCAAGGTACCATGGAGTCAGGTAGCCAATGCTACCTTAAAAATTACAGCTGGTGCCTAACATTGAGGTTTTCTCTAGTTGTTTTCAATGGAGCTTGCTCCTAAAAAAAATCATGTTGGCTCCTGGATTGAACATATTGGCTCCTTAATTTCCGTATTAATCTGTCCACCCCTATGTTTGCTTCTTATATCACTCCAGATATCTCTAACAGAATCCCCATCTCCTTCCAACTTCCTTAGCCAAACATTATTTCCCGACTCCCCCAAAGGATTCTTCATAATATGGAATATACAACTGAGTAGCCGGCAGAAGGAGAGTGACACCTGCATTAGAGGAATAGTTTCATAGAAAATAAGAATAAAACCTTTTTCTTATAAATTGAAAGTGAATGACACCAATGTGCTCAGTTTAAAAATCAAATCACAGAAGAGAGATGAACATGGCCAACAGAATCATATCTAACACAACGATAAAGTCAGCTGCGTCTCCGGCTGCTAAGCCAGTCTCAGCCATATCCTCCATTCTTTCAAAGGAGCATGTTTCATGAGTAAGTAAAATATTAATTCTATTTCTAAGAATAGCCTGACAGGCTGCCAGATCTGCCCTGTGGGGACAGAAAAAAACAAAACCTAATGTGCTCCACCATTTGGTATTCCTTTCTCGCCCCCGCCTTAAACCTATAGAGGAGTCACAATGCCACATTACTTGTCGTAACGGCCCATTTATAAGTAATTGTGATCCCTTCCTCCCACACGCCCTGCCAGAACACCTTTTGCCGCAGCCTTGTGCATCCCCTGCTTCTCTCTTTTCAAAGGATATTTCTTGCATGTTTTTCTTTCACAGCAGCTTCTTGAGTGTTGATAGCTTTGTTTATACTCACAGTCTGCAAAAGGAAACAGAAGAGTGAGGTAAGAGACGGCTTGCATACAATAGGCCCGAGCACAAACCAGTAAAGGCAACATTCAGCAATGCAGCTGCTGCAACAGAGCCTAGTGGATGAGCATTATGAGGGATTTCATTAACCGACAGCTGGAATACCATCCCTGGCCCAAATTCTCTGTATTACATTCTGTGTATTACATACATCATAAACATGGAAGAGTTCTATAAACGCACATAAAGCATTAAACTAATGTATACTGGCCGTAACATGCCACTAAACACATATTACAAGTTGATTTATTGTACAAGACAACATGAAGGAATATGTAAATATTTGTGAGCTTAGTGAAATGTAGGGTAATGAAAATGAGGATGGAACAGCGAGGAGCAACATTTTGCAACAGAACACTTCCTGTTATTCCAAAATGAGCATACAGATAAGAATGTTTCCTTCTAGTTTCCTATATCTGCATGCTTAGTAGTGACACAGAAATTGAAGCTAGATGGTGAGAATAACAGTCAAGTTACTAGTATTTTCATTAGGACATTAGCCATACCTCCCAACTTTCTGAGAAGAAGAACCTGACCACACCACAACATGAAAAATGTATAAACTAAAATGATTGGGTAAACCCACAATTGCCTTTTTTTACTATAACTTCTACTTTTAGGGCCCATTCACACTATAGTGTTGAGTTAATCGCACGACGCCATTTGATTAACACATGCTATTGCACAACACACCTAGTGTGCCTTATTGCGCGATAGGTGCGTTCCCTTGCCATTCATTTAAATAGCACCCCAACACAACTTTCAGCTGCTATGCACTGCAACACAGTGAAGCGCATGGTACCGCAATATCACGCACTGCTTTGGCATAGCAGGCATTGCTTTTTTTTCACCACAACCACGGTATTGTGGTACCACTCGTTGCACTGCATTGTAGTGCACAGTGGCCCGGGAGGTGTATTGGGGTGAAATTCGAATGAAAGGCAATGCCACAACTTAATGCACGTTAATGCACTATGATGTAAACGGGTCCTTATATTAGCTTTTTAAAATAATTTAGTGATAGTATGCAGAATAACACTTTTGGTAGTTATATAGAACCTTTTCATAGATATATGTACACCAAACCAAAAAGAAGGACAACTGAGGAGGAAAGAGACAGAGGGATTTGGTTCCAAATGAGGACAATTGGGAGGTATGAATGGTAGTTACCATATTTCCTATTTGTCATGTTTGTGGGCTGCACTGAGTAGAGATCATTTTGCACAGCTCTTAATTCCTGTCAAGCACTTTGTTCATATCCCATTAGCCTAAAGCTGGCCATGACTCAAATTTTGTCAGACTCCTGCTGAAACGACTGAAATTCAAGATATGGTTAGACTTATCGGCAGCACCCTGCTCCACATAACCTGACTGAAAAATTGAAGAAGCCGGGTGGAAAATTGTCGGCTGAACAGTGGCAATCACCATTTCTACCATGCTCTAGGATCACATAACATGAAGCCTGTTCATTGTGTGTTCAGATCCTGATCAGTTTACTTTTAAAAAATTGTATAATAAGGAAGTTAGGCAGTTTAACTTCCATTTTTCACTCCATGTTTTAAACTAGCACTCATTTTTTCAGGTGCAAATTGTGAATTTTGTTACAACCCCATTAAAAGGTAAAGTTCATCACAGCATATCTCGTACAATGGGCACTAAATGATTGGGGCATCCTCTGAAGGTTATTAGCCCAACACCGTGAGGATATCTTACTGCTGTTGATCTTGATGTTCCTCTCTGTTGCAGCCATAATTGTTTTACACAGATTTAGGTCAAGGAAAGTAACATGGTCCCTCCCTGAGCTTCCAGTGGGAATGGATGGTAGCGTGAGCTGAGTGACTCACAACACTGCTCATTCTGAAGTACACTGAGGTAAATAGAAACTATTCTTTTGGCTGCCTTCCTATTCTTACTCAGTTTATTTCCCAGAAGGAAAAGTGAATAACTGGGCATGTCCACCAAACCCGTTATTATCCCTGGAGGAAGGAAACAGGCTATGAAAATGAATAGCTTCTCTATGCAACCAGTTTGTGCCTGTGGTTCTTTAAGAACCTTAAACCTATTAAGCTTTTCTAAACTTTATACCTTCATAGCAGACTTCCAACTCATCACCTCTTTTTCATACCTGCTCTCTACATAACATAATCTACACTTTGGTTACCAGTTACTAAAGCACACCACCTGAAATGTCAAAATTATATTTTCTTGCATTCCACAAAAAGGGGAACTGTGCAGTATTGCTTTTCTCAAACGTGCCAGAGTATCTTTCCTCAGAAAATTAGTCACAAGCATCCTGCTGCCATTTATTGAGAAATGCCTTACACAGGCATTAATAAGGATGTGACCTAAAACTGTTCTTATTAGCCACAATGTAAACCAAAGCAGTGTCTCACTTTCCTTCAATAGGAAGGGTGGGCATACGTGGACACAACTTGGAGTTTGCTGGTTAGACTCTCCCTTTATTTTGTTAAGTGCATGGTGAGTTTTACTGTTGACTGACTTACTACCTCTGCTGGAGGAACCAATATTCTACACATCAACTACTCGTTTGGTATATTAAAAAAAAAAACTTCTAAGGTTCAATTTGAACTCCCCTCGTGCTAGTTTGAGATTATGTCCTCATGTTCTTGATTTTAGCTTCACATTGAAAATAACGCCCTCATGAACCTTATTCACACCCTAATGTATTTAAAGGTTTCAATCATGTCCCTCTTTTCCTTTCTTTCCTCAAGACTGTACACTTTATGTTCCTATAGTCTCTCCTGATATTTCACCATTCTTGTTGCCTGTCTATGAACTCATTGAAGGGAATTTATTAAAACTGGAGCAGACAAAATCTGGAGCAGCTGTGCATGACAACCAATCAGCTTCTCTCTCTCATTTTCAAATCTTAACTGAACAAACTGAAGAGATAAGTTGATTGGTTGCCATTCACAGCTGCTCCAGATTTTGTCTGCTCCAGTTTTGATAAATTCCCCCCATTCTGTATTATCAATATCTTTTTGTAAAGTATTGATAAGGTAGAAAGAGTCCAGAGACAGGTAACAAAAATTAATTTTTTCACTGAATTGCCCAGAATTGTTATACGTTTACTTTAGGGCCCGTTTAGATGGACAGCTGAATGGTGATAAAACCAGGTGGTTGATCCGTGTTTTTACCACTCCTTAGCCATCAGCTGCAATGTTAGCGTTGTGGCCAGACAGTGCTATGTGCATTGCCGCCGCCACAATGCTTCATTTTGCGGTGCAGCAAAAATTATACAGCATGTCGTGACCATAGAGGTAAATGAGAATGCAACCGCATTGGTTTATAGTTCAATTAAAAATCCCCCTTGGGTCAAAAAAAAACCCCCAAAATGTATCACTTCCTGAATGCTGAGCAGCCACTGCTCTAGCACCCTCTGGAAACCATCCACTGCAGATCGCTTTGCACAGGGTGGTGGGGCCTGCCACTCATCTAAATAAGGCCTAAGGGAACTGCTTCTGCCTTGAAAGGAGAAGTGTTGGGAATGTAAAATGCACTGTTCCCAAAACTTGAGCTGGCAATACACTAGTAGATTTCCAAGCGAACTTTCGTGTGACAGATCTTTCTTTCGACTTTATATTGGTTTATGGGGTCAAATCAATGATCGATTTCAGGATGGAAATTTTTTCTTGAATGAATGAAAACCTAACAATGAATTTGGCTTTCGTTTGGGAAACTCCATGTATTCCTAAATCAAATGTTAAAATAAAATAAAATTTTGTTTGCAATTAGTCAAGTGTCTGATGCATTATCAGGTGGTAAAGAAAGATCTTTTGTTTGGAAATCTACTAATGTATGACTAGCTTTAGATAATTATAGATCGAGAGCTGAGCGATCACGAACCGCTGAATGTTCAGCTGACAGTCTTCTCCCTGCAGGGAGCAGTGACTTTCAGACAGAGATCCCCCTCCCCTCTCTGTTCCTCCAGCATTCATGGGAGGGGGTGGGAACCAGAGCCACCTGTCAATCAGGCAGTGGGCTGGATCCCGACAATGTTGTTGGGATCTTTCCCGGCTGCAGCGGGGCTCTGCACTGTCAGCAAATATCAGGCAGTAGTCTGTTAGATGCTGACTTTGGTTCACAGGAGTATGTTAATACATGTACTCCTTTGACCCAAAAGAGGACTACTGTAAAGCCAATAAAAAAGTTTGGCTTTAGTTCCCTTTTAATGCTAGTTTCAATAGTACCTAGTATTTATCTGGCGCACTTCTGTGTTTCCTGACATGCTCTGTATGTCTGCCAAGCATGTCTGATTATTTTTGTAGCTACTTCACATAACATATAGAGAATCTATTCATATCTATTAAACAGAGCAAGACACATTTGTGTGCAAAATTAGTAGCTCTACCAGAATAATATTCACCCCCCCCCCACACACACACACACACACACACACAGGAAGGCACAGAAATAAGCTATAGAGATATTAGCAAAGGCATGGCATATTTTATCTGTAAATTTCTTTATGCTGAACAGTATAAAAATGTGCAGTCTAATCAGACAAGACAACACAGTTGCTGATGTGCAAATTTCCTAGATTAAACTGACTTAAGGTGGCCATACACTCTACAACCATCGCAAGACTTTAGTCTTGCGATGGTTGTACAGGGATTAAAAAAACGTACGATCTGCCTATCTTGGACAGGCAGATCGCACTCTCGATCATCGCAAGCACGCCCCCCTGAGGGCGGGCTTCCGATGACCGCAATGCTGAACGGGCAGTGTGCGCGTGCGCACACCGGCCCGTTCGGCATTTGTCTTCCGAGCACCGTTCTAACCAGCCGAGAATCGTACGATTCCCGGCTGGTTTTCGAACATGCTGGTTCGACGGAAGACGTGCGACCGTACAGTAGAAACGGTCACACGTCTCCGTTCACACTGCTCGTACGAGAGTGCGATCTGCCTGTCCAAGATAGGCAGATCGTA